CAGCTGAGATTTGGCTTCTAGGTTACCTAAAATATCCTCTCTTTCCTGGGTTCATTTGGCTTCCTGTCATCTGGTTTTATTTCTTATTGGACACCGTTTTATGCGATGCTGCCTGGCACTCGCCAGACGCTAACACCCTCATCCTATTTCTTCCTTATTCTCCCTCTTCCTAAGCTTCAAAACTTTTGCTTTAAATGACCAAACGTCCCGTATAATCGTTATTCATTTGATCAGGCTTGTGCGCCAGATTGTCTACCCGCATTGGTCACCCTACTGATTGGAAAGTTTCCGGGATCCAGCATCGGCTAACTTCATCTGTCTCACAGTCTAACTAAGGTTCAGCTGATACGGAAATGTGTATCCCCTGTCCGATTACGGCAGCCTTGACGACCACTGCAGTGCTGTTTAGAAACCGAAGTATATTAGAGCAATGACGGCATGGCACTGCCATATGTTAACTGATGGCACACCCACAACTATTCACTTCCTACTTTTCACGATGACTTCCCGTTCCCATACTTGCAACCGCGAAAAACCTCTTCATCTGGCCCCGTCCGCCTAAATTGTGCGTTCACTGATTCCAACCAGATGCAAACAGCTCGATGACGTTTACCCAATGCTCCTCACAGTCAGTGATTTTCTGTGCAGATCGCGTTCCGTCTTTCGCGTTAGCGCCAACTCCCTCCCCGTTTGCAACCATTTTGCAGCTGACTCCACTCCAAAAGCGACACTTGTGATTCTCTACAGTTCAGTGCACACAATGACTCTGAGATTCCAGATACCATCTAAGATTAGTGCTGATTATTCTACTTCATTATCCACCTTTACGTTTTCTGTGACCCTGGCCATTAGCCCAAAGTCCAACACCAACGAAGCCTCACCGGTAGTTGGGACTTTTGTTCAAATCAACCGGATAGACGGCGTGTATCCTGCTACTGCGCTAGATTAGTTTATCGGCTTACGCATTTATCGCAATTTGAAATTCTTTATCGCTTGTCGAGCAGTGTGCCCTATTTTGTTCTCCATCGTTCTGCTTTTGTGCGCCACCCTAAAATCTTGACGATCTGACCTTGTCCTAAATTATTAGGTTACCTCAAACTTACGGTAAATTGCTGGTATTTGGGTTACTTTTCCCATGCCGGTTCGGACATGATCAAGTCTACACCGGCTATTGCCCACTGTTTTTGGCTGTCATTATTCGTACAATCCGCAGTACGTGCTACCCCCCAGGCGTGCTTTATTTTGACCGTAATCGTGTGATCATGCCCGACAGTATGGGAATAGGCGTTGTTATAATTATTATTAAATCCTGTCCACTACACAATGTGAAATCTGCTCAAAAGGCATTGGTCCGTCTGCGGATGATTCGGTGCGCTTAACCCGGTACTATGTGCACGAACTTCGGAACACTATATGGGGCCAAAGTTCGATCACTTCTTGCATGCACCAACCAGTCTGTCTACTCAGTACGTTAGAAGGACGTACACCTCATTGAGCATATACAACGGGACGCCACGAAAAATGGTTGCTTGCATTGAGCCCATTGATTTTGAAACGCGTCTGTGGTGCTTGAGAGGCGTACCACTTTCTAATGTCCTTCTTAAAAAAGGTTCCGCTGAAGCGTTTTTCACCGCCAATCAAAGTAACACCGGGCGGGTAGATGGCAGGACTATATTTCCATCCCAAATCGTAGACTATTAACAGACAAAATATTTTCTCATTTCGGGCTATGCTCTGAATGTTGCCCACGCTCCATGTAGGCGCACAGTTGGCACACACCGCGTTTTCTGTAAAACCGGTGCTTTATGGTCGACATACATATCCGATTAGATATGGTGTACCCTGAGACGCACGGATGTCGTGTGCATCAGCTTGGTTAGCGCAGCTGTCTGCTATGGTAGAAGTAATGTTCTTTCTGATATATTACGCAAGTAACCGGTTGTTCAACAACAAAATTCACGATTTTTGCGAAATAATGAATGCTGCTACCGTGATTTAACTCATGAAGCCAATAGTCAAGCAAAAATTATTTCCAGTAGTGACACCTCAGCGCATATGCATCCACAGTAGCCATGTAGTTTCTAGGGTGTTAAAAGAATTATTTCAGTCGCACATCTATCTGTTGGTCCCGTCAATTGCAAGTAATTCAACTTTTTCCACAATCCGCGATATCTTATTGCATTACGCAGGTTATTCACAGTCGGTGCGGTATATTGACCTTGAGGATTTGCTCACTTAAACAAACCGCCGATGTAGAGAATTTGCATATTAATTTATTATACATTGACATTCTATATTATGAGGTAGTAACCCTGAAAACCTCGTACCATTTGGAAAATCAATTTGAATTTGCGAATACTGAGAGCTTGCAACTATTTACTAGTTTATGGGAAACCCACTACCCCGAGCTGAGAACTTAAAATAGTAGTGTTACACCATTTTTTTCCGCTTTTCCGTTCAGTCGAACGGCAGCCGCCGAACGACAAGTACGAATCCAGCTAGGAAATATACATCAATCCGTGAATCTGTGAAACTGAACTCAACTGAATTGATTATTCGTTGTCATAGCGAAGAGCGCTCCCTCTGATTTCGAATTTCCGCAACTGAGAAAAGCGTGGATTATGGGTCTATTCGTTCATGCATTGACTTACATGATTCTTTGGGTTATGACCATTTCGTGTTGTAGTACTTCAAGTTTTTCCTCGCGAGTGAATACAGCGTTCAAAATGCATAATAATTGTGATGTGCATAAGTATTAACTCAGACATTTCAGACGGGGTGTCTAAGATAAATTTTATAGTTAAAAACGATCCCTGGACCTCTGCGTTAGGCCTTTCCTATGCGGTTTTCTTCGTACAATCGAAAGAGAGACTGTACTCAGCAATTTGTCGGACGTGCGCAGCAAACAGAAGTCAACCTGTGAAAGTTCCTCATTGATAGCATCATTCTGGACCGCGGTCTTTTCGGAGTGTTCGGGATTTGTTTTTTGCTGTCATAGGACATAATGATACCGGGGCCCTCCTGCACCGAACACTTAAATAGATTGCCGGCGATATGATAGGCAGCAGACAGGGCCATCGTTTTCCCGTTTAATTTTTGGCTTCCACACTTGAGGCGGTTCTGATGGCCCATCAGTGCCGGTTGCGCTCAAGGTGTGAAAGAACATTTTTCCCCAAATCTGCGTCATCAGTACGCAGCAAACATTCCATGCTGAACAACTCAGGAAGTTAATTGTTGGAGTTCTTGAATTTTTCAGACCCTAGAAAAGATCATGTGGGCACGCAGGACAAGAACGGACAGAGATTCGTTATAATTGGCGGCCCACTGGGAAATCTTCAATGCAGTCCAGTGGATCACCGGCAACCCCACAAATACACAGTTTTTCTCATAGAATATCCTACTAACATTTGCCAGCTGAACAAGCAAAACAACCCTTAAGGTGTAGCACATTGGGTGTATAGCTGCGATGGCACCCGAAGAATGCACGGCTCTAGGTATATTTCCAGGTTGCCGAGGTGTAGACAGAATCATTTGAGATGCTGGAGTTGGATTCTAGCTACAGCATTTTTGGTTATTAAGTTTCGCGAGCGAGCTGGCACTAGGGTACAACGTGGCTGTCAATTTCCCCCTGACCATAAAAAGAACTTTCATCTTCGGAAATGGTGTCCTTGAGGGCACATCTGGGGGATAGGGATACATCTGGGATGCTGTCGTAGCACTCGCTTGACAAGACTCTTTAGGACTTCAAAACGGAACGGCGGTAAAACCACAGCTGGGGAGAGATGGCTGAATGGTGAGATCACAAATTTAACAGAGGAACATGGTTCGAACCCGACACCCGCATTTCATCTTCCCCCGTCTAGGCGTGGGCAACTTGGCAGTATCCTAGCCCACGTGCTTCCTTCCGGTGAAGTGACAGCTAGGCACCAAAAGGGTGCTACAGCTGAACGATTTGGACCACTTAGTTTTTGACTCACTTGTAGCCGCTCTCTCCTCCCTTGTAGGTATATTTCCTAAGACTTTGTCGTTATCTTTCGGGGACTTATCAGGAGTTCAGCAATAGAGAAACTACACAGCAATGGAATCAGCAATATCCGGAAATGGCGAAGTGGTTTGTAGAGCGTGTTGTTGAATAAAACAAATATTTTTAATGACGAAGGAGTTGGCCTTCAAGTTACACTAGTAACAGGTGCTCCAGCGTCCCAGCTCCCCTACTTCTCGCCATCGTTTAGTTGGATTCCAAGTTTAGTATTTGGTTTCCAGGTTTTTCTTTTTTTTACGGATACGTGCATTCTTAACAACCTTGCGCACGGCCTAGTTCCCCGACCGGTGGATGGCCTTGAAACGTTCCACATTTCATCAAGTGACGAGCGTCTTTGTCGACCCAAGGGAAACTCTTCACAGAAAGCGTTTAATGTGACTGGGATGTGTTGGGCTGTCACGCTGTCAGGCCTTATCTTGCCGCAGAAGAAATTCAAAGTATCTTAAAGGCCATACTGTCAAATTACCGTCCACTCTGTCTGACGCGCGGCTTTTTGGGGTGTGGGTCATTCAGCTGTCGCCAGCTATACTTCATGTCCACAGATGTTAACGCTGTCCATTCTAACCACAGAGCAAAGTTACTGTTACGGTCCAAGTGCTGGATGCAGAATAAGAATTTTGTCTGCATGTTTCGGTAATAGGGTAAGATCCATAATATTGGCTTTCTGACCGGGTAGTCTTCAAGTAGACTTCCTGACGTGTTGTATTACGCTCAAATTAAGAACTGGCTCCAAGAGGTACTCAGTATCCATTGGCTGAAGACATGTGAGTGCTCTATTTGAGCCTACTAATCGTATGTTACTGCAAAGTCTCATGCCTAGTCACATTCAAGACGTCACATAGTTTCCAGGTGCTAGCCCTCCTTAGCTTTTGCATTTTTGTCAACTGTCCCCTTGCAAAAATAACGTCAACAGTTCGGCTGCTTCACCCCTTCGGCTCCTTACTGCTACGTCGCCCTATTAAGTTTCGCGAGCGAGCTGGCACTAGGGTACAACGTGGCTGTCAATTTCCCCCTGACCATAAAAAGAACTTTCATCTTCGGAAATGGTGTCCTTGAGGGCACATCTGGGGGATAGGGATACATCTGGGATGCTGTCGTAGCACTCGCTTGACAAGACTCTTTAGGACTTCAAAACGGAACGGCGGTAAAACCACAGCTGGGGAGAGATGGCTGAATGGTGAGATCACAAATTTAACAGAGGAACATGGTTCGAACCCGACACCCGCATTTCATCTTCCCCCGTCTAGGCGTGGGCAACTTGGCAGTATCCTAGCCCACGTGCTTCCTTCCGGTGAAGTGACAGCTAGGCACCAAAAGGGTGCTACAGCTGAACGATTTGGACCACTTAGTTTTTGACTCACTTGTAGCCGCTCTCTCCTCCCTTGTAGGTATATTTCCTAAGACTTTGTCGTTATCTTTCGGGGACTTATCAGGAGTTCAGCAATAGAGAAACTACACAGCAATGGAATCAGCAATATCCGGAAATGGCGAAGTGGTTTGTAGAGCGTGTTGTTGAATAAAACAAATATTTTTAATGACGAAGGAGTTGGCCTTCAAGTTACACTAGTAACAGGTGCTCCAGCGTCCCAGCTCCCCTACTTCTCGCCATCGTTTAGTTGGATTCCAAGTTTAGTATTTGGTTTCCAGGTTTTTCTTTTTTTTACGGATACGTGCATTCTTAACAACCTTGCGCACGGCCTAGTTCCCCGACCGGTGGATGGCCTTGAAACGTTCCACATTTCATCAAGTGACGAGCGTCTTTGTCGACCCAAGGGAAACTCTTCACAGAAAGCGTTTAATGTGACTGGGATGTGTTGGGCTGTCACGCTGTCAGGCCTTATCTTGCCGCAGAAGAAATTCAAAGTATCTTAAAGGCCATACTGTCAAATTACCGTCCACTCTGTCTGACGCGCGGCTTTTTGGGGTGTGGGTCATTCAGCTGTCGCCAGCTATACTTCATGTCCACAGATGTTAACGCTGTCCATTCTAACCACAGAGCAAAGTTACTGTTACGGTCCAAGTGCTGGATGCAGAATAAGAATTTTGTCTGCATGTTTCGGTAATAGGGTAAGATCCATAATATTGGCTTTCTGACCGGGTAGTCTTCAAGTAGACTTCCTGACGTGTTGTATTACGCTCAAATTAAGAACTGGCTCCAAGAGGTACTCAGTATCCATTGGCTGAAGACATGTGAGTGCTCTATTTGAGCCTACTAATCGTATGTTACTGCAAAGTCTCATGCCTAGTCACATTCAAGACGTCACATAGTTTCCAGGTGCTAGCCCTCCTTAGCTTTTGCATTTTTGTCAACTGTCCCCTTGCAAAAATAACGTCAACAGTTCGGCTGCTTCACCCCTTCGGCTCCTTACTGCTACGTCGCCCGAAGGATGCACGAGGGCTGGGATAGTGCCAAGTTTCCCAAGCCTAGACAGGGGAAGTATAGAGCAGAGTTTGGGTTCAAATCACGGACCTTCTGGTCGTAAGTTCGCGCTCAAGCCACTGAGCCATCTCGCTTGGATACTGCCAGATTGCCCAACCCTCGTGTGGACAGTGACTCTCCAAGACGTTGCGTTGCGCTGCGCCGCCATCCCCCTAACCCGTATATCCGCACTCTCCCATATTATGATCCATCATCATAAAAAGCATGATATTAGTATTCAGCACTGATGCTTCGCTGCCATACATCTTTACCAACTGCTGTCTCACGGCTCATACTTTTGAGTCGGCGGCTAGGGGTAGGGGCTCCGGACAAACCCCAACACCCTCTCACTGATTTTCGAGTCATAAGCTCAAGATGAGTACCCAAGCCAAACCGCTTTCTGGGGACCGCGTGATCCCCACTGCGCCTGGTTGCAGACACTAGGTACCTCTCCCGTCCAGCTTTTTTTTTCCTTCACAATAAGCCTTTTCAATAAAATATGGTTGTATGGCAGTGAAGCGTCGGTGTTGAAAACTGATGTCGTGCTGTCGATGATGGTGGTGATGATGATGACGATGATGAGGATGACGATGATGATGCTTTCTGCGGCCTGGCCAACCGGAAAGTATCATTAGTTGCGGACAACTTGTTTTACTTTCTGCGGACGACTTAAAATCTTGGAGTTCCAATGCTAGTGCCCCCCAAATGGATGTAGACGCTGCCAAGCAGTGGTCGTTGGACTGACAGCTTCCTCTGAATGATGAAAAGTGTGTCCATATGTCGTTTGGAGCGAATGCCTTTGTTATGCATGGTGAGAAAGAACCAGAAAACATCATGAGGATAGATGCCAAAAAGGATTTGGGCATCTGGGTCTCCTCAAACTTGTCCTTCTCCCTACACCATGAGAAATCGGCCCGAAAGGCATTCGGGAATTTACGGATGATGCGACGCACCTTCCCCCGTATTAGTCACATGGAATTCCAAATACTCTATGGGGCCTACGTCAGGCCGCTCCTGGAGTACGCCAACCAAGTTGTCTACTCAGGACGCACGAAAGACCTCATCCTCATTGAGCGTGTCCAGTGAAATTTAAAAAAATAAATCGTTCAGCTGTAGCGCCCTTTCGGTGCCTAGCTGCCATGCCACCCGAAGGAAGCACGAGGGCTGGGATACTGTCAGGTTGCCCAAGCCTAGACAGGGGAAGTCGAGTGGCGGAGGTCGGGTTCGAACCACGGACCTTCCGGTCAGTAACTTCGCGCTCTAACCACTTGAGCCATCTCGCCCCCAACTTGTTTAGTATTGCTTAATAAAATGTTGTGGGTGTCCGTCAGCTGTACCTTTGACACTAAAGGGTGCTGCTGATCTCTAGCTTGTAAAAGGGTTCTGTGTATTTTTCCTTTTTGATTGTACCCAGGTAGTGAGGTCTTAAGGGCCGAATTAAGAATGGATTGCTGTTGCACCGTCAGGTTTCATTTAACAGGTTAATCTTCACTGCCCAGTTGCAGGTGGATGGGAGAACGGTCTGCGGGAGTGCTTAATCTTTATGGCTTCTCGTCCGCCGGAGCTGAGTCCCTCCGGAAATCATCATGCCGGGGGTCAGAAGATCGCTGGGAGCCTCTTACTGCATGCTTTCTGACACACCATGTGGGGATGGCGATTAGCCAGGTATAATTTCACGGACTTGGATAGCCACCACTCATTATTCCATCGAATTCAATTCGGAAGGAAACCACATAAACCGGATGTTACATCTTACTAGAAGATTTTGGGAGTTCTCAGTAAGTGACGTCTACCTCTACCCTCTCTAACCACCTCCTCTGAGCCGAAAATTAGGCAGACAGGGCCGTTTGATTCTAGACGCGTGTCAGCCTTCTAAAAGAATGCTTCGATGCTATAGGTATGCGCCCAACTGGTCAACGACACTCGACTCAAGGACGTAAGAAGACGGGAAGAAGAGTGAGCGTTCTACTATTTGTAGGGTGGAACTGACTACCACCTTTATAGATGGTCATAATGATGCTATCTCTCATCCAATGGATAGCCTTCAACTGATCCTGAAGAATTTAGGCCGCTAGGCGGCGAAGCCGCTATCTAGGAAAGTAAGTGTTCTATGTCTGGTGCTTGCGCATGCAGCACTATGTTCCTGGAAAATTTTGAGTCCATATTCACCTGCTGCACTGGTACAAGTACCGTGTTAGAAACTAAGACCATTAAATAGATTGCTGTAAATGTGCATTATATCCGCGTTGACGTGGTAGATGTGCACAAGGTGAGCAATAGAGGCGTCCTGCTATTTTCAAGATACCTGTGAGACGGCCCTGGTGAACAGTCTAACTTCCATACTGCAGAAGATTTGGAACGAAAGCAGAATACCAACCGAATGGAGTTCCTGGACCTCACCCCAGTTTTCAAAAAAGGGACAAGAACTTCATGTGAAAACCATCGTGGCATCAGCCTGGTATCCGTCGCATCTAATGTGCACTCGGGCATTATTTTGCACAGGTTGACTGATCATCGGAGAGATAGATTCGTGAAAATCAAGTTGAGTTTCGTCGTGGTCGAGGATGCATCGACCATATCTTTATCTTGAGACGATTTCTTGAACAGCGCCACTGCTTCAAACGTCCCACTTTGGTTGATTTTATTGGTCTGAAATCTGCTTCTGATTCTATCGAACGTGAGAGCCTTTGGCAGTGTCTGGTGATCAAATGTGTCCCTTCGAAATGTATATCCATCATGAAGGCAGTGTATGGGAACTCCTGTGGACGCGCACGAGTATACAGAAAGCTTTCGTCTGAGTTCACCACATCCAGTTCTGTAAGACAAGGCTGTTCTCTCTCACATTTCCTCTTGAACTTTGTCATTCACATGCTTCTCGAAATTTCTCCGCCCGTGTCTGCAACCTCGAGAGTCGAAACGCTCCTGATACGTTCCTTCACAGACATTGAGTATGTGGACGGTATAGCAGAATTGACACTGTGGCGGTGCGATCCATAGTGCTTTATGGATCAGAAACGTGGCACCTGTGCGCAGAGGACGTACGAGAGATGTCATCGTTGGTGTACACGAGAAGTCTATAGTGTCCGGTGAATCTAAGATTTCAGCATTTCTACTTGGGCCGCTGACTGGTGGTTTTTTAGCCGTGAGATGTCGATGTCTGGGTTTCGAAAGTGAGCTGGAAACATTATAGGTCAAAAAGATTATTCAGCTGTAGCATCCTTTCGGTGCCTAGCTTCTATGCCATCAGAATGAGGAACGAGGGTTGTGATACTGCCAGGTTTCTCAAGTCTAGACAGGGGAATTCGAGAGATAGAGGTCGGGTTCGAACCACGGACATTCCGGTCAGTAAGTTCCTGCTCTAACCATTGTGCCATCTCGCCCCATGTGGAGTATGGAGTGGGATACCGACGGACTAAGGACTGTTTTGGAGAGGGCGAAATGTCGCTGAATATGCTGTACCCCCAATGACCGAGTCATTAAGTGGGCGGACATCTGGCTAACCTTCATCAGTTAGGGTCGATTTTCTTTGTAACTGACAGAACTTAGGAGGGAGGTAACTCCTATGTTTGTAACAGTCTCTTGAAGAACTTCCATATGTTACCGGTAGCTAACCGTATTAGTCTTTTAGCTATGAAATTCTCTAGAAAATGGAGGATTTTTTGTTTCGTTCGATCCGGACAGTAGATACAGCAACACTGGTGCTTCATTCGTTTGTACTGGAGACTACCGAACAAAACCCTTCGGGGTTATGTCCCTCGGTGCTGGTGGGCCGTCTGAGGCGTTTTGGAATTAAGAGTCAGTTTAAGTAACGTAGGCTTGCGACGAGTGTGTAACTAGGGCGGTAGCTAAGACTTTATTGCCTACTTCTCTGCATATGGTGGTGAATGGGTGTCCCCTTCAACTTTTCCGGTACCTGGTGAAAGACAATTGGTCTAACTACCGACTGCATATTATTTTAGTTTCATTGCGTAAAAGATTTTGAAACAGTTAGGACCAGGCACCCGTGTGTGATTCTTAAGTCTCCGAGCCATCTATGGGGCTATTGTGCACATGATCCTTGTCGGAATTATTTGGATGATGTCGGTTAGTGGGTTGATCGTCGTTTCGGTCTCCGTGACATGTCGTCGTTCTGCCTTGGCGTGGCTTTTTCCGAAGCCCACCTGGTTGATCGCATTGCGAAGTTAATGGGAACAGTCACTTAGGGGGCGAGCTTCCTAGGCCATATCCACAAAACAAATTTTTGATTCTTTTGGGTGTTTGTTTTCGTGACGATGGAGCTTGTTCTCACAGTTGCGTTATGTATGTTCTTTGACGGCAGAGCCACGAAGACAGATTACAGGCGGTTTGGGTTCGTTTACTTAAACATGTATGGGTGAATCGAGACTGCCTTCGATATCCAGTGGATTGACTCCTGTGAGGTACCGCTGAGCGTCAACATTGAAGTATTTTTCCGCTGCTGCATCTTGTTTAGTTGCCTGTCATCCAATTTGGAAACTCGACATCGTGGATTTCCAGGAAAAATTTTGGCTGATCGTATCCTGTCTCAGTAGCTCTTCACCTTATGGGAATACATCTAGCAGGATAATCATACCGTTAAGTACATCGCTCATATTAAGGAGCTGCACAAAGGTTTCAGGAGCCTTCTTGAATGACTGATTTGGTCTGTCGGATAAATCGTGCTTTTTAACGAGAGTGCCTTGGAGTCACCTTGAGCTTCGCTGCAGGAATTTCCATGCCTCCACCGATGAGAAAAGAACGGAGAATGTACCACTGACTGCTAGCCGTCAAAACCGGACTCGGATTCATTTCTCAGTTCCCTCATAACGATGTGGCAAGCTGGTGCACTGTTACAGATTGGCCGAATATGACCGCCTTTTTTCATAATTACGACATTCGGCTCATCGCAACTTGAGCAACATAAACAGTATGTCGCAGAAGTTGCGAGTGTCGAAAACTTCATTATTCGGAAATCTGTAAGGGTGGTTATTCGCCAATTCTGGTCGAAGTTAGATTCGTCTATGTGGTGGCGACATGACAATGTGGCCTTGTACACTCCTGGAGTAAAGTTTCATCAAGACTCACACCAGATGTACGTACATTCGTATGAACATCATGATGTTGTCCCCAAATTTTACAAACATTTTTCGACTGAATGCAAGGTGTTCCGTTTATTCAGTATGTCAGTTGAGAGAGCTTCGAAATGGAGGCAAAAGACTAGACTCAGGATGGCGATTGACAACAGTGTCCACTCTACCGTGACAGACAGACCGGTCTCACGTCAGTGCCACAAATGTAAGAGGTTGTAAAATGCTGGCCCTTGGCACTCCTAATTCTGGAAGTGGTTTCTCTTTAGTTACTTCGGAGACTTATGTAGCTGCTCGAATAGGCCAACTTGTCTGCTAAATCGCTGAGTTCATATTTGAGCATGGAATTTGAGTCTGCTTCTACTAAGTATTGTAGTTTTAAATGTAAAATGCTCGCAGAACCATTTAGCAGAATTATTTAGGTTAATTAGAGTGGTTTGCGCTTCTAAAGGCAGAGGATCCAAGACGAGCTGTATCGCCAGGTTACTCAATGTTTATGAGCGAACTTTTCGGGATTATTTCGACTCACGAGGTGTTAGATGAATACTCAAGGAGCACAATATTTAAGGAAGTAAAGGGAAAGAATGTTAGATGGTACCTTCGCCTTGCACCAGGGAATGTGATAAACTCGGG